GCTACAATTATCACCCACTCATGTTATTTGAAAGATCTGATTTATTTACATTTATACACAAATATTTTTTTTTTATGTTGGAAACTGCAATATTACTGTACCCCAGTGAGTTTTAAACAAAAATATAGACTAGATTTTTACCTGAATTATACTTATTTTAGTAAAAACATTAAATGAAGGGCTTAATTAAAAATAGTCAATTACAAATAAATAAATAAAATAATGATTCAAGATGAGAAAATAAGAATCTGGTAGTCTGTATTTTCTCTATTAGTTTCAGGACAAAAAACATTTTATAATTGAAAATCGAAAACTTAAATTTTTCATTTATCATTTTAAAGATCCGTTTACTATGATTTTTACATTTTCCATTTTACAGGGTATCTGCTACATTTTAGATGTTCAAATTCATGAATTTTCATGACTAATTTCACATATTTTTCATGACTCAACGAAGTTATTTTCTCAGACAAAAACGCAACAATAAATTTAAAAAAGCATTATAATAACATTAATTGAAATGATAGGTATAACCAAAACTGTTATACTCTGCATCTTCATATTTATAGATTTTAAATTTAAAAAACAGAGTAAAGAAAAAGTTGAAACAATAAAATAGCTAAAAAAAATAAAAAAAAAAGCAAATAATTTTTTTTCTGCAGAATTATATTCTAAAGATACTTTTCTTGTTCATCAGAAAAGAAAGAAATACTCCTGATTTTTCTGTTCTCATTTCGGAATTAAAATGACTGGCTTGTTTCAACTAGAATTTTAAATTGATAAAATTTAAAAAAAGAAATAAAAATTCTTAAAACACAGAAGCGTTTAAAAGATAATTCGCTCTAGAAATGATGTTTTTTCTTTCATTTTTTAAAGAACACCATAATTTTTAAAGAACATGATAAAATCATTTTATATTGTTAGGAATTCAGATATTTGGAACAGGATGAAATTAGGGAGGGGGATTCCATTTTAAAAATTAGATTTTTCAGAAACCTAAATCCATGACTTTCCATGATTTATTTTATTTAAAAAAATAGTAAAAATCATGACATTTCATGACAAATTTTGTTGAATACTGAAACTCATGACTTTCCAGGTGCACGGATATCCTGGTTTTAACAAGCCAATAAAATATTTTGTATAAAATCTTCCTTTTATTGTGTGTCTATCATTCCAGTTAATCAAAAAAATATCTTTCTCAGGTACATTAATCTGGCCCCCCTCCCAAAAAAAACAAACAATTATTCAAATTTTTTTTTTATAAGTAGTGTATGTATTTATTTTTCATCTGTGTTGTAAATATGTTGTAAATATTTACTGCCGTAATTACATAATTTATTCATAATTTTCCCATGTCTATAATTCATAATATATGGTCTCGGGAGAAATGGTCAAGTGAGACCTCATTGTATTCATGTTACAGTAAAAATTAAATTGCATTCTAGTTGTATAAATTCTTGCACAAAATTTAAAGACATACTTCAAATGTGCAAATACTTCTCTAAATAGTTGAAAAAATTAATAAAAATTTTTGTCCCAGACAACTCACTATTTATTTTATAATTTGATTCTTCAATGAATATTAACATACACACATCTTTCTCAATACACCATTTTTGAATTTAAGCTCTTCATTCAATGTTACATTACAAAAATATAGTCATAAAATATTGTGGCAGGAATATAAAATCATATGCTACCTTTTCAAGAGTAAATTTGCATAGATGATTTAACAGACAATTTAAAAACGTTTCAATGTAAAAAAATAATAAACAAAAACAACCATTAGAAGCAGTCTTAAGTAACATTTTGTCAACACATAAAAATCAAGTTGTGTCCAAACAGAATTAACATAAATCAAAATATCTAAGCTCTAAGGACTATATTAAACAAAGATGAATGACATAATATTTTTTTGATTTATTATATAAGCAAAAGTAACAACTAAGTACTGCTAGAACACATATTTGATTTTTAGAACGAATTGTTAAAAAACATGAAAGAAGATGAAATAAGAAATTACAATTGATAACAACATATTGACAGCTCCAGTTAATGCCAACACGTTGACAGTATAATTAGCTGCAATTGATATCAACATATTGCGAGTATTAACTGTGGTAAATGATATCACCAGATTAAAAGTGAAAACTGGTATAGATTTTATTATATAGATAATGTGAACACAGCTGCAAATGATAGCAACATAGTGAAAATAGCTGCAATTGATATCAATGTATCAACTAATTAATGGAGAAACATACAGCAATATCAACATGTTGATGGTTTAAATAGCCGCAATTAGTATTAATATATTGACAGTGAAGATAGCTGCAACTAATATCAACATAATACCAAAAACGTCTATTCAAAACAACTACGTAATAAAATACAAATTAGTTGTCAGCCTTACTATTTTGTAATATATACTTTAATGATAAAAAAAAAGTTTTTCCAAGTTATTGAATAAAGGAATACTGCTTAATGGAAGCAGTCTAAAGGGTTTAAGAATTTAAATTAGAAAAGGTTACACAAAGTTTTAATTTTTATTTATAAATAGTAAGGAATACTTTATAATGGCTATGGAATTTTTCTATATATTCTTGTTTGAAAAACAATAGGAAAAAATATCAGTATAGAACATAGTTTGTTACGCAAAATTACCTAAAACATTTTAATTAAAAAAAATATCTTAAATCTACAATCAATTGATATAAAGGAAAAGATTATTTATGAAATACCGGACATAAGTTGTCGATCAAATTATCATTAACAATAAAACTAATAAGATAACACATTAAATGCAACTAAACAATAAACTATAAAACGAAGAATAATAAGTTCAACAGTTTAAAAAAAATATAATGAAAAACATAATACTGGTTAAAAACCATTACAATACTTTTAATTTTTCTTTTGATTTTTTTTAATTTGCAAGCATGTATCATCAATGTTATGCTTAGTAAATGCATAGTACTTTACATCAAAATGTCCAAGGAACAATAAAAATGTGTAAATATGAAGGAAAGAAAAAAAACAAAACAAATATACAACCTCATTATATTATAATTTACTAGAACACATACAAGTGGCTAAAAATAAAATCAGTTAACTACTTTGATCATTTTATAAATCTTGTAAAACACTTCTGCATTTTAAATTCAAAATACTAACAGAAATTTCAGTAATACTTTTACCTAAAAATAAATTTATGAAGTATGCAATTACAGTGCTAAAAGAAATAAAAGGATTATAATGTGTTTTCATTATTGCTTGATATTATCAAGTTAACAAAAAATAACATTTACGATAATAAACACATAACTCTTAGCTTTCAAAAAAAAAAAACTATCAGTAAAAAAAAAGATTGATATTTAAAGAATTTTCTAGATAATTTCAAGGCTTTTTACTTACACAACAAATCAGTTTTCTAAATAATTCCCTCGAAAAATATTGCTAAGTAAGGAAAGTGTTAGTACTACGTAATTGAATATTTAAAAGAGCCAGATTGAATATAGAGCCTAATGGTGTAAAAACCAGACATCGATAAATACCATTTGAAATGTAAACATTACATAAACCAAATATTTTAAAATTAAATCTATCTGACATTTAATAAAATGGATAGATCACTAGGTGCTTTGTGGTCCAGGCAATTTTGCATCCTTATTTCTGAACTTTTTATTTTGACCTTACAAATGAAGAGAACAATATCAACAAACAAAAATTTTCGATACCATTGCTACGAAAAATTTATTGCTTCGATAGAGTTTACCCAACAACTGATTTATTAATATTTTTTGAACGCCTTATGTGCCTTTTTCGCTCATAGATTGTTACAGGGAAGTTCTAAAACTGATTTGTTTGTCAAATGCATTAACAAAATCCAAAACAGTAAAAAATGTCAAAAAGATAATTAAACAAATTGACAAAATAAAAAAACACAGAACATAAATACAAACAATCAGTCATTAACATATGATCACAGTTAATTTGATTTAAGGAAGAAATAATCTAGAAAATAAACTAAGTTTTGCAACATTTAAAAAAGAAACTTACGACCATGTCACTGAAGATAGCTTTGTAAATAAGCTAAAAAATAAATACATGAAATTGAAAAACATTTAAAATGTGTATTTTTTATGTGATTTATATACACTATGTACAATGGCATCTATAGGTGGGAAAATAACTTCTAACCATTTCTGTTAAGATCTTTAAAGTGAAACAAAAGAAATAGGGTCAAAAAAATTTTTTTTAATTATTAATATTTGTTTTTGAAAACAACTGTACACTTTTTAATAACTCTATATAATAATCAAAGTTAAAATCACGCTAGTATTATTTCAATGCACTAAAAATACCGTTAAAAAATTTGCATTCAATTTCATGTGATATGATTAGGGTGCTTTTTTCTTTAAATATCGGCTAACTTTTTTTTTTATGGAGTTATACCATAGAGCTTGTACTTATTTTTACAGAACTTGTACTAGTTGAAGGCCTATATAATATTGTACTATGCTTTGTTTTGAACTAGAATCAATAAATTGCTAAATTCAGTTGTTAAGTTAAAACTTTCAAAAAGAAAAAAGTTAAAACCTTTATAAAGGAATTGTTAAAATCTAAAACTTTGTAAGCTTAAGCTAACTTTTTTTTTTTGAAAAAAAAGACACTTAGTAAAAAAAAAAAAAAAAAAAGCTTTTTATTAAAAAATATACCGATTTACTTATACAACAGTAAAAGAAACACAATTTAGTAAAAAATGAATGCTTCACTAACTTCTGATGACAAAAAAACACCCTGAAAGAGCAGAAACTAAAATAAATGATTTTTTTGGAAATTCTAAATTGATACTTTGTGCAATTTTAAAAGGTTTTTTAGAAAAAGATGTTTATAAATTTAAAACTATCATGAGAAAAAACAATTATAATTGATTTAAACCTCAGTATCTATGCAATTCATAAAATATACATATTTTTTTTTTACATATTTGGTGATTATGAATTTTAATTTTCAAAATATGTCAATCTTTCATAATTTATACAAATAAATTACAATATTTTTTCAATGACGAAATCAAGATACTATTTACAGTAGTTTTAAGACAATGTTATTGATATGAGAAGCTAAAAATTTTAAAATATGGTACTAAAAAAATAAAAGAGATCTAACATCATTGACCAGTTTTGAGCTTCTTAATTGTATTTTTTAATGCTTGACGTTTGTTACAAAACCAAACTCGAACAACTTCCCTGTCATAGTTTAAATGTTCTGCAAGACCTGTCATTTCAATACCTAAAAAAATTAATTAAAATTAATTTTAAAAACTAAATAAGGAACATATATTATCAATAACATAATCTACAGAGATAGATAATTGGCTTCAATAGTACAATATACATTTTTTTTTTAAATTATCAGGAGTAATTGTGACGCAAGGAGAAAAACTCAAAATTTTATGTGTAAAAAATCAATATCTAGATATCAATTCATATATCATACATGTTTCGCATTTAACATAATCTACAGAGATACATACTAATTGGCTTCAATAATACAATATACATTTTTTTTTTAAATTATCAGGAGTAATTGTGACGCAAGGAGAAAAACTCAAAATTTTATGTGTAAAAAATCAATATCTAGATATCAATTTATATATCATATATGTTTCGTATTTAAAATAATCTTTTGAAATAAGATTTTTAATTAAATTTACTACTAATGAAGAATATCACACTTTTATAGTAACTAATTTAAGAAAAAGTTTAGTTCTTACAAGATTTGCAATGTTGGATTTTTAAAATTGCATGAATATGAATATCTTTATTCTGTGACATCTTAAAATTAATAGAATCTATACTTGCTTTTAAAATAAATTTTAACTGTCCGTCTCGCTTTTAAAATAAACTTTAATTGTTCATAGAAATTTATAAATATACATACTATATGCAGGGATGAGATTAGCCAAAAGGCAAAAAAGCTGAATTTCCACGATAGTAAATTTTACACAAGCGCAACCCTTTAATAATAAATTCCGGACAGTTTAAGGTAATAAATAATGTGTTGACATACAATTGTGTACTAATCTATTATCAGGGTTGGCAGGTTTTTGACATGTGACAGTTTTTGACAGTTTAAACCATGGTTTAAACCGTCACGTCAAAAACCTCACTGTTAAAAATGTCGAAAATGTCAAAAACCTATATTCATATGTGAAATTTAATTAATACATAAAATTTAT